CAGATCTCTGTCATCAGAGTGAGAATCCAATGACTAAGGACGTGATTGAATGATCGTCCTGCATTTACGGGCCAGAGGCTGGTGCCCAAGGAGGTTGACCCAGGCAGTCACTGGAAGGAACAGTGGGGACAGAGATTGGAGTAGATGTAGATCTATCAACTCTATTATCCATGGAAGGCAGGAGACACCTACATGGCATGAAAAAGACTCAGATGGAGGCACGGAAAGGTCCGCCTGCGCTCCCACTGAAGCACTGTCCGAGATGTAGTAGTGAACAATAGCTTCTGAGCCTCAGAATAAGAGATGTTATTAAGTCTTCAAATGCTGTACCTTTTTCTCCTCCACCCACTTAGGGCAAGACTTAAAGTACACCTCACAGAACCACGACAAGATGTCTTTGACTGACCGAACCGCTGACACCGAAAACATCGGAAAGGGTTGGGAATATAGGGCCGTACCTTACAGTTCAGATAACCTGCCTTAACGGTGGCAGGTGGACATGGTGATGAAAACGTCAAAATCAAAACTGAGTTCGGCACCATAATTCCATCTTGACGAGAGGAGATCCTTCGAACTGCTGAAACTCCTTGGCTGGAGAAACCAGCAAGGATCTCAGACTTGGGGATAGACTTCAAGTCCCTCTCAACAATAACTCCTCGTGAGGAATTCAAGGAAGCATGGGGAGTAACCTCAATGGGTATATCCCCAATGGCCTTTGAATTCAAGAGGAGTTCACTGTGCTTAGCTGTGGATGTTTCGACCAAGATGTCTACAGAACGGAGCTTCTTAACCAAAGTGGTGTGTTGCAGTGCCCCAGACACCATTCAATCACCAGGATCCTCTCCTGATGTCTAGATCCCAGAGAAAGTAACTGAAAATACAGAACTTTCCCTGGGAAGTCCCCTCACCACGTACAGGAATCCACATCGAGGGGCTGATAATGTTAAAACTAACAGCAAGAGTTTAAAGTATGTGAAAGATAAGCAAAATGTTAAAATGGGAATTGAGCCCTTAAAGAAAGATGATAGCAAGGTGTTTGAAGACTACGAGATGACTGAAATTTTAAGTGTTTTCTTCTGTTTTTAAATTGCAGCGTAACATATTAGCAACATTTCTAACATAAAGTATTTAAGGGAAATACTAGAAATAATCTGTATCATACAGATATCAATCTCTTGGTGGTTAGTAGAAAGACTCGGAGATGAAATATGCTGCACCAGGATCAGACAAGGTTTAATTCACAATTTTAAATATCAGATATCAGATACACGAGCCTCTCATTTTTGGTAGGACAAGAGGCAGTGGAAGGTTCCTGATGATTGGAGAGTAACTAATGTTATTCCTATTTTAAAATGTATGGATAAAAGTTGAACTGTGAATTATATTCCAGTTAGTCTTCCTTCTGTACTAGAAAAAATTCTAAGAGTCTGAAGAAAGAAGCTTTCAAACTCATTTATCAATATATGATATCACATAAGAAACCCAACATGGTGTCACTGCAGAGAAATTTGGCATTATAAATATTTTTACTTCTTTTTAGGATTACTAACTGTTATCTTGAAGAGGAAAAGGATGTAGATATGGCAAGCGTAGATTTTCACAAAGCCTTAAATAAGATTCAACACAGAAGATTAGCTAGGAATATCTCATTGGTAAGGGTTGGTTCTTTTTTTTGTTTGTTTGTTTGGTTTTGTTTTTAAGCACAAAGCTCCACAATAGGTACTCTGTTTTGTGCTGACCATGGGTATGAAAACCCAGTTTTTAGCATTACAACTCTATACACTTACCAATGAGCCAGTGGGAGCATTAGGGGTTGGAGAAAGAAAGACTAGTTAACCTCTCCAGACAGGTCAAAGGCCATGTCATTTCGTTCGTTGACTCGCATTCAAAATTTTATTGAACTACTATTTTAGGAATTTATGTCAATAAGTTTGATATAAAACTGTAGATTATAATTAAAATTTTAGTATTATACATTATTTAATTTCTTAATTTAAAAGTAAATATTAAAAAACACACTTAAACATTGATTTTTGTGTGTCACGTGGTATGTTGAATGCAGCACTGGTTCAAGTTAAATGTTTGTTATGTCAAAATATAAAGTCTATAGTTTCGTACAAGTTAGAAACTCAAATTACTGATATTGAAAAGCTAGAATATAAAATAAGAGCTTCCTATTTTTTTTATTTGCTGAGATATCGCTCCTGTACTGAATCAAACACATTGGCCCCGTTCACCTCTTTCCATTTTTGGAAACACTCCCTTATATACACTTACTTCTATGACATGTGAATAACCAATCAAAAGCTCAAAATGTCCCCCAAGTGACTTTCTCAGCCACTTTCAAGTATTACGATGTGACGTCGTTCTTTTGATACAAAACTTCATTCTTGTATTTATGTTACTGATGTAAATCAAAAAGAGCAAAGGTCCTAAGACTGAGCCCTGAGATACACCACTTGTGACACTAATCTAGTTTGACTGAACTCCTTTTATAAAAACCCTCTGCTTTCTTCCATCCAGCCACTTTTCTATTCAATTAGCCAATTTATCCTCCACACCTAGAGATAATGTTCTTTATGAGTCTTTTATGTAGCAGCTTAAAGAAAAAGCAGAATTTAATAACCCAACTATCTTATAATCATTACATACATTGATATAAACCTTCCCTTTATTATCCTTAGAAGGTCCTACCCAATCCTAACATTATGTTTACCATTAAAGTATTTAAAGAAACTCTTACTGTTAATCTTTACATCTTTAGCCAACCTTTTATAATATATCCTTTTTAAATGTCCTAACTTCTTGTTTGACCAACTTTCTTGATATTGTATAATATTCTAAATCTCCCACCAAACCAGTCAATATAAATTTCTAAAATTTGTGATGCTTTTCTTTAATTTTATTCCTTATACTCAGAGCCAACCAGGTTTTTTACTTGCTGCTACTAAAAATGCTATACTCTTTTCTAATTAACATAAAGACACAAATCAATCAAAGTGATATGTAATGCATTTTTTGTGCTTCACTATTTAAAACACATTTATTATTTGAGATTTTATAAGTATTACAGTGGCTAAATACTTGGCAGCTGGGAAAAATCTTTCATATGCTAAATACCCAGCAGTCAAAAATATTAAATACTGATTAGCTATGATCACCCTCTAACTTGACTTAAGCAATTTTGGGACTGATTTGTCTTCAAGCTTGATGAAACGATCTGAATATAACTTTTGCACTGGAAAAAACAAAAAAACGAATGTCATTATTGTTTAGTGTTCATCAGCATGCCTGTTTGCTACATTTTCTAAATACTAGATATCCGGAATTAAATTATTCAATAATCATAAATATTGATAAGCTTCCAATATGATAATTTATATTAATTATATAAATATAATTTATGATTATATTATTTTTTTGGAATTATTGGTATCATTATTATTATTAATTGTTGTTGTAGCTCATCAATATTCATATTTTTGAAACTGAAAGAAAGTTCCTGGCAGCTAGGTATCTCGCCGCTAAGTATAAATATAGTCCCTGAGCATTGTTCAAGAATAAGAACAATGCTCATGTTACATTTTTTCTATGTATTTAAATTCAATACGATTATTTCACAATACTTTGATCAATTATTATGTATAGTATATCCCCATGCACATAGTTTGTCCTATTGACAGTATAATGTAATTACGTGTACAGGTGATAGTAATAGTACTACTAGTTTTGTTGGTAATTGTAATACTCGTAGTAGTAACATTTATATTACTTTAAGCCTACATAAAACACAAATACGATTACAGCATAGACTCGCACTCTAGCTAGAGTAGAGCAAGGCTAGGTAATGAATTGGACGTCATAAAACGAATTACAATGGTTCTTACAAAGCAACACACATGAAAGTAACAACAAAATAAACAACCATTAATAATAACATACATTTTATTACTAACCTTGTATAATCTGAATTGTAGAATTAAATTAAATACAAAATTTTGTACCTAACTGCGTTGATCATACCTCTCCATACATACTCCAAAAAATCAAGCACACAACCTGACGCAATTTATTTTTTTCCACTATAAATGCTATAAACATGTTACCGCTACCTGTAAAGCAATTCATATCTCGGATTTTAGCAAACAATTAGTTAAAAATAACAACGAAACCAAAAGTGTTATTAAAAACAAATAATGCGTAGCTAAGTATACATGATAAATAAATTATACTCCTATAATATTTATTTTTAATAAACTAACAGTTCGGCTTAAAACATCAGTGCTAAGCTGTGGTCAAAAACTTCGGGGGAAAATTGAATAGTTATACATGTTTCATTGTCTTACTCATTTTCTGTTGAGTTTGTTTGTTTGTTTGAATTTATGCACAAAGCTACACAATGGGCTACCTGTGCTCTGCCCACCACGGGTATCGAAACCCGGTCTCTAGCGTCGTAAATCCGCAGACATACCGCTGTGCTACTG